ATTATCTTATTAAATACACACAACCTTATAGCTGCTTGTAAACCAAAATTTTAGAGCTGGTTTGTTTTTTGGTTTGGGGGATTTTTATTCCCCTAAGTTGGCAGAGATAGGAATCCTTTGCAAAATGTGTTTCTTGAGCTTCGCTTGTCTTAAAACTTTGGCTTTGAGCTGTAGAGAATTATAACTTGTGCTGAATTTTCATTTCTTCTGGTGTAATTACTCATATCTTTTTCCTTGTGGTATTGAAATAATTAATATCTGCAGGTAGACATCATCAAAAGAATATTGACTCAGAATGATTAACTGTAAATCTGACTTTGCTGTTCGGGGACACTGTGAAAAATGATTAATTTTTAACTTAGTAAATAGGTAATACTATGAAAATTTATTTTCAAAACGTTTTATGGAAGTGTTGAATGTTCCTGTCTGCATCTAGACTTCTAATAGACATAAATCATATTGAAGGAAATTTTTAAGCATTGCAGCTGTTGAATGTGGAAGAATAAGATTTATTGTGTGCATTTTCTCTTTTATTTGTTTAATTGCATTCTTTTGAAATCTTACTTGTTTCTTGTCATCGTGGTTCTTTTTCACCATATTGAATTCCCACAGAGATGATGATCCTCAGACTCTCACTAACACATGTAATTTTTTTCTTTGAATTTCAAACATTTTATCTTGCATAAGGTAAGGCACTCAGCATGGTCAGTTTACTGCATAACTTCAGTCCCTTTCTGTAGGAGATACTGAAGTTTAACACAGAGAAACAAAATTCCTCTCCAAGGTATTCTCTGAAGTAGGTATGTCTAGTGGGCAGGAGAGAAATGGGGCTGTAGACGCAGGTCAAGCAACGCTTTCTGGAGCCATTTTTGGGTCCTTCTGAAAGCTGCCAAAGCAAAGGAGCCCAGAACCTCTCTGTCGACATATTTCCAGCTCCCCCATCTCTCAGAAGACTTGGTGGTGGAAGATTTTTCAGAAGATGAACTGAGTTGGAAACTGAGAAAGTGGGTGATGTGCAGAATGTCTCTGCTACTGATTGACATAGCAATGGTGTGGAGTGGTTTAAGCTCTAGATGAGTCTTTACTCTATAGAGTGTGTGCATCCACTGAAGAATTAATTTGATCACTGGTTTGAGAAATTATGTATATTATACAGTATATAATACAAAAACATCTCAATGTTTTGCTTTTTGCCAGTGCCACAAATCTGATTAACCAGTTTATTCTGCTTGCACACGCATGTATTCAAATGGCAAGCCCATTTTATGTCTGTATGAGATCAAACCCAGTCTTTCAGTCTGCTCTTTTAGTTTTTGCATATGTGTTTTAGATACCTCTACAATATTTGCTAGAAAAACATGCCTGTCATTCCCATGTGACCCGACTGTCTTGCTAGGAATACAGGTCCTCATGGGCTGTTCACGTAATAAGAAATCCTCATTTAAACAAGAACAGTGGGATTATTCATCTTGATAGAGAGCAGTGTATATATATACTATATATATATATATATAGTACTATGTACAGTCACATTTTATGAGGTCAACTGAGTTCCTCCTTATTGTTCCAACAACAACGTGAATAGTGACAGCAGTCCATCAGAAAGCCCTCGCAATTTTGGGTAAAAGTGATATTGCTGGCTAATGGTAAATCATCGCAATGTTGACATCTCAGTGTAAAAACACAGTGTAGCTCTGAATGCTGAATGCCTCTCTCAAATGCTTAGAAGTGGAGTTTGAGACATTTAGTTAAGAGCTCACCTGAATTTTTCCAAAAGCTGCAGTAATCTCTAATGGGATATCTTGGGCAGGCTGGAAAACTGAGTGAAATTAGTTATTTTGTTCCTAACTTACAGAATGAGGGAGTGGCAGAGGATTTTTTTTTTTTAGTGTCTTTTCTAATATAATTTGTATTGCATAAAAGAAAATGCAGATAAAATAGAAACCTGCATATTATGTTTATGAAGGTCTGCACATCTGCAGTCAGTTATTTTGGATGCAATACACTAAATCCAAGACTTTTTGACTGTTACTCTAGGACCATGCGATTGTAATTCTGGTGTTTACTGCTATTTCATTTTTACAACTGTCTCCTTTGTTGTCACTTAATGATGTGCTTTACACTGCTGGAGCCTTTTTATGTTAGTGATCATTTATCTGCACCCTGTCAGGACCCCGATACAGCTGCTCTCGATGCAACAGAGCAAATAACTATTGGCGAGCAGAGCTGCTGGCTGAATTCAGTGGAAACCAAACATTTACGTGCTTCTGAAAAGCAACACAGCTCTCAGCATCCTTCAGCTGTGAGCGCTCACACGGGTCCAGGCCCTCCTCAGCCTCTTGGCAGCCGTGGAGGTACCCGGTTAGGGCAGTCTTGGTGTCTGGGATGTTGCGCTGGAGCTCTGCCTTGTCCTGTTGCAGGACACGGAGTTACAGTGATGGGCTGGAGGGAGCAATACCAACACCTCCTTGGGCACCTGTGCTCCGGGGCTGTTGGGATGTGACAGGATTTTGTTAATGAAGATCTGCTGTTTGATTTCCAGTGGTAACTTCTTCCTCTTCTGAAAGCGTGTTGATGTGACAGCTGCGTGCAGGTGTTGAGCAGGCAGCGTGCCTTTGCAGCGAGTCCTGAGAAACGCGTAGGCAGGCTAACGGAGAGGTGCAGCTAACGAGCGTGGTGTTTGGCAGCGTGTTCCCCACCCCGCTTTCTGGCCCACTGCACAGGTGATGTCTTCAAAGCTGTTCCTCTCTGCTTCATCTGGGAGCACCGAGGCTTTTTTCTGTTTTGACAGCAGAAGCATGGGAGATTTCCAGCACAGTGCACAGGTCTTTCCACTAATGAGACTGTATCATTTAAGCAACTCATTTAGTGTTGCACTGGGTGCTCGTGCCCAGGTGGGGGCTGAGGGGTCTCTGCGAGGGGAGGCTGGGGCTGCCCTGGGCCGGGCACAGCCGGTTCCAGCCAGTTTCAAGGACCCCAGCACAGAGCACAGCCCAGCCCCTCAGCCGGACTGGGCGCACCTCAGGGAAGCGGGTTTAAGAAAGGGGAAAATGCCATGCAGCACCGAGGAGTGAGGAAAAAATTGCGAGGCAAGGAGTCAGCAGTGAAGCTGAGCCTTGGGATGAGCGGTGGGGTAGGGGAAGGTCTTCATTTCTCACCATCCAAATATATTTTTATTTAGCAGTATGTTAAGTTAAGTTTTCTTAAGTCTAGTTTGTTCTGCTTGTGAGGGTAATGGATAAGCCGTCTCCCTGTCTTGACCCTCAAGCATGTTGGTGTGATTTTGCTACCCTGTGCTGTTGAGGAGGGGGGTGAGAGGGTACCTGGGTGGGTGTGTGGCAGCCGGCATTGGGCAGCCCACCATGAGTGGGGGGGAAAACCTGCAAACCCTCCTGTAAATCTTCCAACTTGGTTTTCAGGTTGCTTTGGTCTTCTGCCCCCTTACAAAGACCTGAGAAAGCCCCTTCCCTACATACGGTCTTTGTCATTAACCAGTAAGTTATCATCCTCGGTTTATGACAGTTGACTGATTTTATGCTGTGTCAGGCAAGGCTCGTGTTTCTGAGAGGATTGCTCTCCTGAATTCGTGAAAGGCTGCTGCAGAGACACTGCGAGGTAATTATCTCACAATTAGGCACGAGGGAACAGTCAAATTTCTACACCCACATGTCACACTTCTGCTATCTATACGAGTAGTAAGCAAGTCAAGTTTGTAGTAAAACATAAACATACATAGTTATTGTGGCATAAGTGTAGATAATGCGAATAACTATTGTAAATTAAGCCACATTTGTTTTTACCATAAAAAAGGCTTTGAAATGGTATTTTTTATTTGAAAGATTCAGTATTCTCAGCCCTGAAAATATTTCTCGGAGAACCCTGTCAGCGATTAAACTGCTAAAGTAATTCGCAGCTTTATAAATAAAACAATACCAGGAACTATGAGTAAAGGAGGAAATGGGCAGTTAATTATTGGCTTTATGGTGTGAACTACAAAACAAAAGTGAAATAGCACCCACATTTTCAACAAATGTTTGAATGACTCTTTGTCCTTTGCCAGCTTCTCTTTTTACAGGGTTTCAGACATTTTTACACCATATAGGTTTAAAGATTTGAAACAATTTAATGTAAAATCTAGAGGAAAGAAGAGGGGCCAGTGGGCCTCTGTGAATTAAGGGCCAAAAATTTGGGTGTGGTGAGAGCAGCAGCATGAATTGGGCTAGGAGCAGTGTCTATGTTCAATCCAGAACTCTTTGTTCATTTGTTTTTTTCTTTCGGGTTGATTACTCTCAATGTTTTCTGAACATTAAAATTCAGAAATGATGACTCCCAAAAAGTCAGTTGGACTTCTGTCCTTGATCTCAATGGGTCTTGATTTCATGGTATTTATCTTCGCTAGGATAATTATAAATTGATTCATTTTCAAGATATAATTTTATGGATATTCAATTGTTGCCAACAAAATATTGGAGAAACAGCATCATTACTGTCTTTGTTTAAAGCTCTCTGGGTGTCTGTGTTTGCATGTAATAATATTTATCTGGCGTTATTCACATTGCCATGAAGACACTGTTAAATAAGTTCTGTTTACTTTTACAACTCATCTTTATTTTCCTTCCTGAGACTGAAAAAGTTGCTTTTATTTTTTTATCTATTTATATTTATTTCATGAATTCTTTCAGTTTTAAGATTTTTTTTCATCCTTTTTAAAACAAATGGGGCTCTACCCTGATGCAGGAAATCTGTGGTAAAAAAATGGAAATTGGTTTCACTCTCAATGTGATGCTTGTCATCAGTTAAAGTCAAGTCTGAGTACAGTGTGTCAAAATAAATGCTTGTACATGAGGTTCTAGACCGAACAAAAGGGAGGAGAGAATGTCAACCATGTGTTATAGACCAGAGCTGGGGGGAGAGAGGAGGGGGAAGACTTTGCAAACAGTTCTTTGTTTCTTGTGCACCTTAAGGTTTTATGGCATATCTGTCGGTGTCTGTTCTTGCAGTTAACTCCCGTTGGAACAACCATCTTTACAGGATTTTCTGGAAACAATGGTGCTACTGACATTGATGATGGTCCAAATGGCCAGATAGAATATGTCATCCAGTACAATCCTAATGACAAGGTAAGTGCGTTTAGCTTTTTTTATTTGTTGTTACACACCTTCACACCTTGAAGCAGCAAATGAACAAGAAGTTGCTGTTGGACTTTATAAAGGAATTATTTCCTTCGTAATGTAGGCTGTCCTCTCTGCCTATGAGCCTTGCTTGTCCTGTAAACACAGCTGGATTTACCTTCTCTCTCGTTGCCATGCTGTTAGAAGCTGGGTTACTTCAGTATCAATCATTAATAATCCCATGTCTTCTCCAGTGTTGTTTACGCACTCATCTTGATTTTGGCATGCCTCTTTAGTCTGTGCTGGGTAGTTGTTTTTACTCCTACACTTCTATACCTAATAGATTCACAACTAGGAAATAGTCATAGGCATGACTAAGTAACTCTCAAAAGAGATGTTCCGACTTCTCTCATGGAGCCATTTATATTTAAAAATCACAGTTTTAGAAAAAATTGAATATATATTATTAAAATAAAATAGCAGTAATCCCTACCTATTATCTTTGCAAACACATGCTTTTAGAGGCAAAAAGCTTAAAGTATTAAAATATATTCTCTTTAGGGTCAGATGTATGAGTTTCTCTGTTACAACAGGATTTAGCGCGAACGCTTTGTGTGGTGTCTGTATGCATTTTTGTAGCAAATTCAAAGTAATCTGAGCAATCATTTTTTGCAAACCAGACTATCTTTTGCCGTAGCCTAAAAGCACAATTACAGTGGATCAGCTGGTGTGATAATTTGTTAAGCAGGCTAACCTGATTATGTATTCATCCCAAAGATAATTAGATGTTTAAGCGGGGGTTGAAAAAGTATATGGTATATATACCTGTCATTGAAATTCCTTACATAAGGGGAGTTTGAGCACAAATGGTTTTGTGGGAAAACAGCAATCTGATTTTCAGTTTAATTAGAAGTGTAGGCACACAAGTTCTAATTCTATTTCTGCCATTTAAACTGTACACCTCATAAAGGCTTCAGTGGTATTTCCATTGAAGTCAACAAGAATTTCAGTATCTACTGAATTACACTTAGTGCTTATGCTTTTTAAGAGGTAGAATTTTGTAGAATAGTGACAGTATCAAGGAATAATTCAGTGTGAACTAATGATATAAGAGCCTACTTTTTTTACTTTTCATTGGGGCAATTGTTGATTTTTGTATAGCTACCTGCTGAGGCATAGTATTTACTTACTATATCTACATATTTTGAGGACAGGGATGGTTTCCTGAGAAACTTTGCAGCACCTTAAGCCACAGTCTTTTGTGAGGACCTTTTTTTTTTTTTTGCAAAAAGGCAGTGTCTTTTTGACAAAAGAGGAATTGTGGTGTTAGTTTTTTGGGAGATAAGGAATTTTCTTACTTTATATGTTGTTTATATTTGGAATTATTTCATTTTTTTAAATGTTTGCAGTCACTTTGTAGAGATTAAATTGATTGCACAGACTTGAGCAGTCTCTTGATTTATGACACTTCAGTGAGACTACTTAAATGAGTAGAATTATTAGCGCACGATGTATGGGTTCGTCATGTCACATTCTCAGCTGTTTCCCTAGGGATGAGCATAGGCTTGGAGTGCCAAGGCCAGGGGTGAGATTGACAGCCCAGCTCAAGTGTGTTTACACCAATGCACGTAGCATGGGCAATAAACAGGAGGAGCTGGAAGCCATT